GTTTAAAGTTAAAGTCATAACCTTTAATTATGAACCAAGTCAAGTCATAAGACAGAGTCTCAATGTTAATTGGGATATGACGTCCATGAAGTACTTGGGTATTAATTTACCGAAAGACTTGGGAAAATTGAAATCCTTAAACTACGATCAAATAATATCAAAGACCAAAATGGACTTTGGAAGATGGAACTTAATACCGTACCTGAGCTTGGTATCAAGAGTGGAAGTGATTAAAATGAACGTTTTACCCCGTCTGCTATACATATTTCAAAATCTTCCAATTGAGGTGTCAGCAAAAGAATTTAAAGAGTTGGACAAAATTATATCTAGATATATATGGCAGAGTGCCAAACCAAGAATAAAATATAGAACATTACAACTGCCAAAGGAGAGTGGGGGCCTAGCTTTACCTTGCCTAAGAAGTTACTTTCAGGCGGCGCAGCTGAGGGTTTTGATTCTTTTGTGTGATCCAGAATATTCTGCAAAATGGAAAGACATTGAGGGAAGACAAATAGAGGGGCTACCGATACAAGCTATTTTATGCGATGAAACGCTGAGGTCACATTTGAAAATAAAAATAAATCCTTGGTTGGAGGTATCACTTAAAGTTTGGTCTAAAACTGTGAAGAAATACAATTTGATGGGTCACTGTAGGTTTTTGAGGTGGATCGCACATGATATAGATTTTGCACCCAACAAATTGGATGGCAGGTTTAAATTGTGGAATAATGGCCCAAAAATGTATTGGGAAGTTATTGAAAATCAAACTGTAAGGAGTTTTGAGAAGATGAAGGAGGTCTATGGTCTCCAGAAGCAAGATTTTCACAGGTATTTACAGATACGTCATTATTTAACAGAAGAAATTAAAAAAGTCAATCTAGGATCAACATGGCCAGGGATCATAAGAATAATGATAGAAGCATACAGAGCAAAGATAGGACAGAAAATTATTTCTAAAATGTACAAGATTTTAGAGGACTTGAAAGTAGACAACACAGTATATATAAAAGAAAGATGGGAAAGGGAGGCAAACATAGTGTTGCCAGGTCATGACTGGGGGGAAATAAATAAATATAATTGGAAAACCACGAATTCCTCGTTTTGGAGGGAATATGGGTGGAAAAATACAGTAAGGTATTTTGTGACACCAGCCCAGAGAAGATTTGGGGATACTAAATGTTGGAGGTTGTGTGGTGAAACTAGAGCAGACCACTTCCATATCTTTTGGGATTGCTCTCATATAACTCAATATTGGACACAATTAAAAGTGATAATTGATGAGGTGACAGAAACAGACATACCAGCCAGCTTTGAAATTATGTATCTTGGAAGAACGGAGACTCTAAAATTAAAAAGAAAGGATGATTATAAATTGCTTCGAATTATGTTGTTGGCTAGTAGGAAAGCAATAACCAGAAGATGGCGAAGTGATCTGGAGCCTAAAGTGGAAGAATGGGTAGATGTAATGCTAAGCATTTACAATATGGAAAAGCTAACTGCATCCATTAGATTGGAAATCGATAAATTTAATAATACCTGGAAAGGATGGCTTAAATATATAAAGCAACATAGAACAGATTTTGTTTAGAGAGTTGGGGTAAGGTCTGGAGGTTTATGAATACCTCTCAAATTTACAATGTAAGATGGGTGAAGAAAGAAATGTTTAAATATGCAAGGATTGTCAATGAGTAAAATACATACTATACCCTGGTTCTAGGCTACAGTTTTTTTTGTGGGTTTTTTTTTTTGTTTGTTTTTTGTTTTTTTCCTGTTTTTCTTGTTGTTGTTTGTTTGTTTTTTTGGTTTATGTTTAAAAAAAAATGTTTTTATTACTAAGGGCTTTCAAGGAAAATCATTTATGACTGTCTTTAAATATTGTATGCCCGGTTGTACTGTAAAATTCATACTGTGTGGAAAATAACAATAAAAAATATAAATGAGAAAAAAAAGAAAGTAGCACAACACAGATCAACAACATTGCTAAACACTAAATAACCCCAACTGAGCAAGCTCAAAGCAAGCCAAAAGCAAGGCGACAGTGGCAAGGAACCAAACTCCATCAGATTGGATGGAGAAAAAACCTTGGGTGAACCCAGGCTCAGTCGGGGGCCAGTTCTCCTCTGGCTTACATTCATATTGTTTAAATATAAATATTAAATATAATTATTGTTTATGAATCAAACGGCGCCATAACATATCGCAGGCGTTGAGTCGTCTCTTCACAGGCGTTGAGTCGTCTCATCACAGGCGTTGGGGCATCCGAAATCCCTGTGAGAGGCTGGACACAAAACTGGACCTGACGAACGCCATTTTTCTCGGGACAAGCGTCCCGAGATAACAGCAGAAAGGCAGATGGGAAATAATTAGCATAGCTGATGTTCATAATGATTTCCGTTATAACTCACAAACTCTCCGTAACCTGAACTCTCCGCAACCCAACCCAACCATACGAGCCGACCCGTTTGTCTAAAAGGCTGTCGAGCCCCACTGGTGCGTTAAGCAGTTTCAGTGGCAAACGGTTCCGTATGGCATAACAGAGGACTAGAAGGTAAGCATTATGTGAATGCTTTACTAAAGAGAAGCGTCTTTAATCTAGTTTTAAACTGTGTCAGCGAGTCAGAGCCTCGGACCGTATCTGGAAGGCCATTCCAGAGTTTTGGAGCTAAATGCGAGAACGCCCTCCCTCCTTTACTGGACTTCGATATCCTAGGAATGACCAGAAGCCTTGAATTTAGTGATCTTAAGGAACGCGGTGGATTGTAGGGCGAAAGAAGGTCCGTTAAGTACATAGGTGCTAAACCATTTAGGGCTTTATAGGTAAGTAGTAGTATTTTGTATTTGATGCGGAACTTAATAGGTAACCAGTGTAGAGATGATAAAATCGGTGTTATATGATCATATTTTCTTGACCTAGTAAGAACTCTAGCAGCTGCATTTTGTACTAACTGTAGCTTGTTTATTGAGGATGCAGGACAACCGGCTAATAAAGCATTACAGTAATCTAGTCTCGAGGTCATGAATGCATGAACTAATTTTTCTGCATCAGAAACAGATAGCATGTTACGTAGCTTAGCAATGTTTCTAAGGTGGAAAAAGGCTGTTCTTGTAACATATGAAATATGATCTTCGAAAGACAAGTTGCGGTCTAGTATAACACCCAGGTCTTTTACTGTAGTGGATAAAGTAACATGACATCCGTCTATATTAAAGTTGTGTTGTGAGAGGTTTTGTGAGTAGTTTTTTGGACCAATAAGTAATACCTCCATTTTATCTGAATTTAATAGCAGGAAATTACGCGTCATCCAGCATTTTATATCTTTGAGACACTCTGTCATTTTAGATGAGTTAGTGTTTTCATCTGGTCGTGATGAAATATATAATTGAGTGTCGTCAGCGTAACAGTGGAAATTAATTCCATGTTTTCTTATAATATTACCAAGTGGCAGCATATATATTGAGAATAGCAGAGGGCCTAAAACCGATCCTTGCGGTACTCCATAGTCTACTGACGTTATCTTTGATTTTTTTCCCATTTAAACCGACAAAATGAGAACAGTCCGATAAGTACGATCTAAACCAGCTTAATGCCTGTCCCTGGACACCGGTGAAGTTTTGTAGTCGATCCAAGAGTATTATATGATCTATAGTGTCGAACGCAGCGCTAAGATCAAGTAGGACTAGTATTGAGATACAGCCTTGGTCAGAAGCTAAAAGTAAATCATTTGTAATTTTAACTAGCGCAGTTTCTGTACTATGATGCGGTCTGAATCCTGACTGGAATTTTTCATAGATATCATTTTCTTGCAAAAAAGGCACAATTGAGCGGACACTACTTTTTCAAGTATTTTGGACATAAATGGAAGATTTGAAATGGGTCTGTAATTTGCCAAGTTATTTGGATCTAATTGCGGTTTCTTAATGAGCGGTTTTGTAATAAATGGTGTAAAAACGTCTTAGTGCTGCCCTCTTCAGGTTGAACGGTGGCTACTGCAGTTGAATTTTCCTATTGGATGTTTAGCATCTATTTCGTCCCCTCTATCTCTGCTGGGGTCTGCCCATTTTTTCAGCATTTTTCAAATATTACCAGTGGGTGGAGTCAGGCTCTGACCAGGGGTTTAGTTATCCTTTAAGCAATATTTTTTTTATCCTTTTTTTTTTACAGTTGCAAAGAGACCTTGTGGATGTTTTGAATGAATTCAGGGGGGACAATTTAGACCTGACCACCCATGTCACTGTCGTGGCCCGCCGGAGAAGAGTGTTACATAGTGCATGTGTTGCTCTTCAGAAATCCTACTTTGAATGGCATGAAACGCCAAACATTGAATTTGTTGGTGAGATGGCCGAAGATTATGGTGGACCACGTCGTGAGTTTTTCAGGTGATTGCTGATTTTAAGTTTTTACACCCCAAAAAAACACCCCCAAAAAATAGGATGTAGTGTTTTCATGAAATGTGACATCTTTGTCTTTTTTTTAAAAGAATTCTCATGAGCGAAGTGCAATCCTCCCTTGGCATTTTTGAGGGGAAACCTGGAAACGTCCTCTTTTCGTACAATCAGGATACACTGCAGCAGAATAAATTCTACACAGCAGGAAAGCTGACTGCATGGTCCATTCTTCACAATGGACCTGGGATTAAATGCCTTAATCATCACCTTTTCGAAATGATGTGTGGTCGGAGTCAGACCATAGACCTAAGCACGTTTGAAACTTTACATGACACAGATATACAACATCGACTGGAAAAGGTATTGATAAATAACAGCAAGACCCGTGTAGTCTAATCGGCTTTGTGTAAAACACTGTCATAGACAGAGTGAATGCATAATGAGTAGAATATTTTGTCATAATTATGCATTTTAACAATGTGTTTATCAATTTGAACAAAATTTAGATTTTACAATGCAAGACCACAGCGGAAATGTTGGAGGTCAAAATGGAACTGGGGGACTGGATTGCTGAATGTGGGATCCCCAACATATATTCTGCATTACTTGCTGATTTCCCTGCTATTTACCAACAAATAATCACCCACTACATGTACCACAGGTTATGTATTTTAATTATTTATACAATGTAAATATATGGTTCGCTAATTATTAAAAAATACTAGTTTTGAGAAAAGCGCATTTTGACAACTTCATGTCACTGCCAATGGCAAGAGTTCTTCAAATGTCATTAATTATGTCATTTTAGCCATATTTTTTTTTATAAGAACACACATTTTCTGGTATTATCACAAAAAAGATGTTTGAAATGCCAACATCTTAAAAGATAATTGTTTTCATTTTAGGGTTTCCAGCATGATACAGCAGTTCATCGCCGGAATGAATGCTTGTGGCAACATGTGGCAAGTTGTCCAGAGAAACTGGGAAACCTTTGCACCACTCTTCACTCATACATCTAAAAAGCTGTCACGGAATGATGTGCGAGGACTCTTTGATATTAAATGGAGTTTGCAAGGCAGCAACAAAAGAGATCAAGAGGAGGACACCATCTTTCTTTGGGAGTGGTGGTTGATGTCAATTGAAAGTAAGTCATTTGTGTAAAATGTATTATGCAAATGTTGCAATAAACTATTAAATTATGAAGGAAAATGGGTAGCTTAACTTGAGAGCATGTAAATGTGAATTTGAAAACTTTTACAGTAGATATTCATACTTGTACACTACAATTTACACTCACAGCTCCAATGTAAAATGTTAAGTGTTGAGATTTGCACTTGCAGAAAAAAGTCACAAACCTAGTCTCAGAGGAGTCGTTTTATTGGTTGGCACCTAGCCAATGAAATGGGACTTTTTTTGTATCACAACACCCCGCCTCAGGTACATTCTAAAATGGTAATGTTGCTTAATGCACTAAGAAAGTGATTTAAAAAAAGTAAATGATATTATAAAACTCAATAAACACCAAACTAAAACAGCATACTAAAACCCACAAACATAATTATAAACTTCAGTGTTTATTTTTGTGCAACATGGACATCAGTGTTTAATTTGTGTGCCTTTACCAACATTTGATTTATAGCCATATGTAGCCTGCCTATTCCTTCAGCTGCGAGCCTGTGCGCTTTAACTGGCGTTTCAGGGTTAGGCCCAGCAGGTGCACACGGACTGGGTTCGGTAATGAAAGGCTTTCAATGACAAAAAATAATTCAGACTGACAAAATAATAAAAAATACATTCTTCTTCTTTTAAATAATAATAATAATAATACAAATAATAATAACGACATTTTTCTTCTAAATAATAACAAGTGTCATTAATACAAAAAATAATAAAAAGAATATTACAAATTGTCATGCAATTATTAATGTGAATGAATGGTACTCCACATCACATCATCATCATCATCACTATTGTACACCCCAATACATGTGACATGATTCGAAATTGAATGCTAATTTAAAAGACGTGCTATAAAATAAGGCATTGTGATAGGTCATTTCGGCTCCACGTCAGGGAAGTGTCTCTTTGCCGTCTTCCTTGAGTCTGTGCCGTAACATAAGGGTGTGGGGGAAGCGGAGACGTGAATATTTAGGGGCGTGTTATTCTAATGACGATCGTTTTCGGCCGTGGGATTTATCAAGGGCAGGCATTGCGCACACCTGGATTTCAAAGGTACGCACAGCTTCATAAATCAGGTGGTGAGATGAGTGTAAGCATAATCTTACGCCAACCTGTTTCTATGCAAGAATGATAATGACTTTGTCATCTTTGCAGGACCGCAATATGAAGTGCGCAAAGTAATATATTTTAGCAACTGTGTGAAAGTGAAGTACGGCTTTTCTGTACATAGTATGCTGTTTTAATTTGGTGTTTACTGATTTTTAGAATATCATTTACATCTTGTGTAATATAACTGATGCACTAAGCCATGTTAGCATTTTAGAACTTCCCAGAGGCATGGGTGTCGTGACACCATCCCGCACAAAAGAAGTCCCATTTCATTGGCCAGGCGCCAACCAATAAAACACTAATATGCTGTTAACAAGTTCTCAAATTCACATCTACATGCTCTCCAGTTTAGCTACTCATTTTCCTTCATATTTAATCACAATTCTAACCCAGGTCGAAGTAACATTTGTATTTTTCTGTTTATATAGATAACGAACTAGATGTTACTTTGGAGGACCTACTCATCTTTGTTACCGGAGCAGATTCTGTGCCCCCACTGGGTTTTCCACACAACTGTGAAATACAGTTTTATGATCAAGAACCTGGAAGCCAGCGATTTCCATTCTCTTCCACCTGTGCCCTCATTTTGTATCTGCCAAGAGGCATTACAGAAGAGGCCATTTTTAAAGACTTAATGCAGATGTCCATTAAAGGTTCTGTGGGCTTTGGAAAAGTCTGATTAGCTTTCCCGAGGCAATAATGCATGTAGGCTACAGCAAAATGTGCCATAATGTCTATGAAGACATGTCGTTGTCCTTTCAGGTATTCTTTATTTTTTATGTGGTTTCTCTGTTCCAGTGGCAGGAAAGAGTGCATGTTCCTGATAGTGTTTGAACTAGAGCAAAATTGTTTGAATTAACTTAATGTGACCCTCTTGGTGAGGACAGAGGTTCGCTGGGAATACCCATACGCCAAAGAGTTCTGGCTTTTCTGAGGCTATGGCAAAATGTGTCATAATGTCTTTGAAGACATGTTGTTGTCCCTTTCAGGTATTCTTTTTTTTTTTTTTTCATAAGGTTTCTCTGGGAGAAAATTGTTGTTCTGCAGTTTATTTAACCATAAATGTGTTTATTTGTAACCTGGCTTGTCCATATTTTATTTTATGTTGTTTAACTTATATTAAGCATTAGAGACTTCATCTAGGCTACAGCTGGTTAAATAAATGTATGCAACTGAGGAAAAAAAGACTCTTTGTTTGTTTACTTGTTATTGGGATGATTTAACCAAACTCTTATCAAAGCTGTAATATTAAATCCTCGCCTCGGTCTTTGTCTCCATGAATGAATATTTTGAGCAGTTAGTAGTTTACACTGTTCACACTTTTACTCAAATAGTTTGCTTTGTTGTCAATTAATTCCACCTACCAGTATCTAAATAGATTCTGGAATGCTAATTGCCATGATACAAAAATTGTGAAAACGGCTTTAGAAATAGATTTGAAGCCAATTTAATTTATTAATAGGCTAATGATTCCTCTTAATAAGCATATTGGTAAAATGGTAGAACCAGCCTTATCTGCCGGCCATTTGACTTCTCCCTGCCGCTCAAGATCGTAGACGGTAAATCTCAGGACAGGTTGGAAACCTGTACATTTATATCTGCTGCTTCCTTTTCAGATTTGCGGGAACCAATCACAAACCGGCTTATCCATCTTGCGCGCTATTTGCGGGTTTAATCGATACTCAATAGCTTCTTTTTAGCAAATAAATCGCTCGAGTGGGTGTGAATACCACAAACTTATTTTATTTATTTATTTATTTATTTGCATAACCTGCAAAAATCACTCCATTCCATTGCTGCTTCTGTGGTTACAAATTAGTAATTCAAAAGCTTCTGCGCTCTATTTGCCCAGATTGTTAGTCTGATTGGTTGACGGACTATCCAATGCAGTTATTTGACCTATTCCCGTTGATCCCGTTGATCTTCTGCAGGGGAAGATATAGCCCAGACCAATGGCTGCGTCCAAAACCGCATACTCAATGAGTAGGTACTTAATTTCAATAAGTACTTACTCAACGAGCGCTAAAAGAGTAGGTACTTTATAGCCAAATCTCGTTGAGTATGAATGAGAACCGGACATCTGCCATGTTGACGTTATCATGTGACCTACTACGACGTGTTATCATCATATCACAAGCGCAAAGAAATGAACAGCGACACGTTTAATTCTTCTATCTATAAATATCTTGACATTGATGAAACGTTCTCATTTTGTTGTGGTATTGTTGAAGAAACAGCTGATATTTTTTTTATTAAGAAACCCCCAAATCGTCACCTCTTGAATATATGTTGTCAATTTCTTTATTTTATACCCAAAACGTTTCTCGTTTAAGTTTTCCTCCTTTTCTTGATGAATTTACCTCGTTTCATCCCTCAGACCTATAACAACAAAACAACAACATTTTTCATGTATTATGAAGAACTATTTAAAGATATTTAGCCTTGTTATTGTTCCTTTTTCCTGTATTATGATGTAAACAAACCAATGATCTTTATGTTTTCTGTTTTGTCATTATGACTATTATGGTATCTTTCCATGATCTTGTATGTAATGTAAGTTTAAATTATGAGTGACAGGTGTACTAACACTTCATACCATCAGTGACTCGACAGCACAACCTAGAACAGTTTTCCTCTGCGTTTGTAATGTCTGCACAAAGGAGACGGGCAGCTGCTCGAAGATCTCTTTTGGAGAAAACTGTTGATTTTATACTCGAAAAATGTAAGTATCACTCCTTAAAAATTAATATTACCTCAGAATGAATTGCATTGTTAGCCCACCCCAAAACTTAAACAAAATAATAATATTAAATGCTGACCAATACTTAATTATATAACTTTTTTATATACTAAAAATATAATTTAATATAAGAAGCAAAATGTAATTTGTTTTGTCATATGACAGTTATGCATGAATAAATTTATATTCATAAATGCAGTGAAACATCTCAATTATCAGTCAATCGATGAATTCACGAGTTCACACGTACAGGAAATCAAATATAATTTTAATGCGTATTTGGCTTGCTGTTCGGGGGAGGGCTCCGAGCTCGGAATTTTGCCCGAACCCAGAGTACTCCCCCCTATACTGGGGTAGACCCAGCCCAGAGTGAGGTGATGGGGTGGTGGAGGGATGCTGAGAGACTTGTCGTGAGACATGAGGTGAGAGAAGCTTTATTTATACCGGCTTCCTTTGAGTTGATTGGTTGATTACCTGAACATGCTCCTCCCGAACTTTGTTTACATAAAACTTCATTTCACGAGTTCACACGTACAGGAAATCAAATATAATTTTAATGCGTATTTGGCTTGCTGTTCGGGGAGGGCTCCGAGCTCGGAATTTTGCCCGAACCCAGAGTACTCCCAAAAAGCAAGGTATGGGACAGCGAGCGTAAAAATATTTCCCCCCAAAAAGTGAAGGGCATGAGAAGGTAATTACTAAAGAACGAGCTTGACCGTTCGACCATTGAGGGCTCTCGCGACGTCCGACGGGAACTTGGATGCTCACAGCATCAGACGGATAAGCCCCGCCAGCAGTTGAACTGACAGCTCGATGACGCCAGATTTATACGAGCGGGATATTGGAACGAGTTATGCCGTTCAACCGGGAGGGCTCTCGCGGCATCCGACGGGAACTTGAGTGCACACAGCGTCGGAAGGGTAAGCCTCGCCAGTTGAACGGGGGCGCCCGCTGTACTCGGTCGGGAGGGCTCGACCGGCGCTTCGAAGGGTGCTGGGGCACGGGAATAGACCTCTCGCGGCCCAACGAACGGGGAGCCCTTGCGGCGACACGAGCGCGGTCGTCCAACGATGATGAAAATAGGCAGGCTCTCACTGCGATTCGGACGGGAGGGCTCGACCAGCGGCTCGGAAAGGGGGACGAGCCCGACCCACGAGCGGGGAGCCGTCACTTCGTACGAACGGGGGAGCCTGCAATTTTAAAATGTTACGCCGTAATTTGGATATGCTTACGACGTGGGCGTGGAATACGGTGATGGTGTCGATGAACGGAGCGCAACAGGTGATGGAAATTAACTAATTAATTAGTAAGGGCTTGGTGAGCGTTTCGGATGTGGAAGCGGCTGGATCTAATGTAAGTATTGAAAGCTTCAGATGACCAACAACGACCGAGGGTTTGGATTTGTTGTTGGGAAAGACCTTTTTGTGCGGCTGTGGTTGCTGCGCCGATGCGAAAAGAATGGCTTGAAAATTGGTTTGCAGAGATGCCAGATTTGGTGAGGACTGCTTTGAGATGTTTTTGGAACCAGAATCTCGTGGCTGGATGATTGGAGTCGTCTGTGAAGAGTGGATCGAGAGGGGATTTTAGCGTGGAACGTTTATACTGAAGGTAATTTAGCAGGGAATGAAAAGGTTGAATGGGAGTCGGCAGATTGAAAATATATACAAAATGACCTTTTTTAGCTCGATCTGTTTGCTTTGTTTGATGAAGAAAGATATAGTTTCGTTATCCACGATCTGCAAATCTGAAATGGTAGGGTGAATGTTTGGATTGAAATTGGATGTGATTGTCAATTCTGAGCAACTGAGAATGCCGAAGAAAGCTAAAATAAACATAGCTTCTAATGTGCGCGCTGTGTTGGTGGAGTGGTATCCTAGACGGAATGATGAAATGCATTTGGCGAGTATATCAATTGTAATGGGTTGTCTGGTATCCGGGCGAGTGGGGTGAGTTCTTTGAATTCCTTTAATGAGAAGGGACGTTTGGAAGTTATTGATAGCGGGGGCGGGCTTACCATAAGTTAGTTTGTGAAAGAATTGAATGCCGCTTAAATAGCTTTTTATGGATCCGGCTTGGAGACCTTTAACTTGGTTGAGGTGAAAAAAGAAAGAAGTAAAGGTTAGAAGAGAAAAATCGGGAAACGGCAGGTAATGCGAGAGGTGAAATAATTTGAAAAATTTCCACGCGGTGTAGTATGATTGGGGAGTTCTGGGAGAAACTGCTTGCAGGATAGAAACGATGGACGTGACCAGAAAGGATTTCAACGGATGGTTTATGGGAAGATTAGTAGAGAATAAGGAGGTACTGGGGTTGGAACGGGGTCTGCTTCTGGTGCCAGCATCCTGAATCTCTGAAAATAGAAATGGGAGAGAGAGTCAGCGATTTTGTTGAGAACACCTGTGACGTGTTTTTTCATTAATAATGAACTGATCGCACGCGGAGAACCAGATGAGGCGTCTGAGGAGTGGCATTATTACAGGTGAGCGAGAACGACCTTTATTGATGCATTGTATGGTTGCTTCGTTGTCGCAATGAATTTGGAAGCTATGATCATTCTTTTCCCCCATAGGGAAGCTGCGACGACGATCGGGTAAAGCTCAAAAAGGGCCGAGGAGGCTGAGGACTTGGGAGTGTCTAGCAGCTGGGGGGGCCAGGGAGATGCTAACCAGCGACCTTGGTAATAACCTCCGAAACCGACTGAGGGAGCTGCATCTGTGAACAGTTTGATTAAGGAAAGTGATCCATAATTTTAGCTCCTTTTTTGCACTCACGAGATAGGATGATTTGATCTTCCAGCGCGTGAACTGATGACAAGAGGGCGAGGAGATGCGCGATGAACGGGCGGCCTTGCGGGATGATGCGCATTGCATAGTTTAAGCGGCCAAGCAGCGAGAGGAGTTCGCGTTCGGAACACTTTGAGCGTCCGTAAGATTGGCGGCGCTAAAAATGTTTGATTTTTTCCTGAGCTAACAGAAACCCTAGCTCGGTGAAGCCTTTTTGCACCCTGACGAGGTGAGCCGCGGGGAAGGCGT